CTTTGCATCTGGAAATTATTAAAACATGACATTTGTTCTACAATTTTAATCAAATACTATATGTTAGTGGATAAATGATTAAACAAATATATAATATTATGAATGGATAAAAGATTAATTAAATATATAAGAATATGAATGGATAAAAGATTAATTAAATATATAAGATTATGAATGGATAAAGGATGAATATATAAGATCATGAATGGATAAAAGATTATATATAAGATTATGAATGGATAAAAGATTATATATAAGATTATGAATGGATAAAAGATTATATATAAGATTATGAATGGATAAAGATTATATATAAGATTATGAATGGATAAAAGATTATATATAAGATTATGAATGATAAAATATTACCTACATGTGTACCCAGGATATTTCCCTAGCCCATTTTAGTACCCGGATATATGTGTAGGGGGAATATTGTACGAATACTTCTATGTTTTTAATATATTTTACTATTATATGCCCGGGTATAATCAAAGAATTTGGCATTCTAAATTGTTGCAGGGTATAGTACAGCAGAGACAGTGCCCGATCCAAAGTGAATCCCTCTCGCCTGTGATCAATCATAAATTAAATTATTTATGTTGGATTCAATTGTGATAGATATAATCCCTCACCAGTTTTAATGTGTAACATTAACGGTCTCTACTGTTAGGGTATAGTCCACGGGCGGGAAAATAAGGTAATTGAATATATAAGATTATAAATGGATTAAAGATTAATCAGGAGTAAAGATTAATTAAATATATAATATTATGAATGGATAAAAGATTAATCAAATATATAAGATTATGAATGTCGTAGAATTTTATGCAAAAACAAAAGACTCCAATTTATCCAATTATTAATAATATATTTGGCATTTATTAATCATATTAACGAAACATGAGGTCATGTAGCAATTGATTATTTATTAATCATATATGCTGCAATTGATTCGTTTATTAAGGATAAGGTACTACTATTCGAACTATGGATGTAGGTAGATGACCTCAAAAAAGTGTATAATTGAACTATGAATGTATGTAGATGACTTAAAAAAGTGATATAATTGAGATAATCTACATATATTTATGATGCAGAGCATTTAGTCACATCACGAAATTCACGAATACGTATCGATATATATATATATAAGAAGTTTTTTAAAACATATCGGCACTATAATGTGGCTAAATATTTTGCATCATAGATCATAGTAGTGGTTTTATTAATAATATTTTTGTGGATTGTGTATTTTACGCGTTATACGTTACATTTATAACGCCCAAGTGTTTAGGTTCAGCTGCGTTACTATTATACTAATTAATCATTTCCTTATGTGGGGGTTGAGGATATGTCACGTGACATAAACCAATCAGAAGATAAATCTATTTATATAAACCAATCAAACCCTAAATTGGCTCTCCCTTATGTGGTAATTTTGATCTTCGAAAGGACAATCATACAATTCATTCAAGGAATAACTTAAGCACAAAATTATTGAATGAGCAATATAACTACCATTCTCCAATAAAGTTAATATGTTTACGTGAATGTGTTGACTTCTGCAGATTACAGATGTTTATTTATTTCATTCTATAAATTATATAAACAATGCACATACTGTATGTGCAAATTTCTAAAAAAAGATTATCGTTTGTTACGCATTTACTTATAAACCAAAATGCAATATTATGAAACTTTGATTCTTTCCGCCTTACTTCATAATGTTATAAATTGAGTTTTATTAATATAAGATTAAGATTTCATTGGGGTGATTCAGAATTGATGGTCAGATGTTTGATTTCGAATAAAATCAATGATGCATTTGTTTCGAAATAAACGATTCATAAATTCTATTTTTTATTTTTTATTTTTTTGTTGTAAGTTAATAATATATTACTAAAAAAAATATTATTTCATCTCTGATTTCGGAATTTTAAACAGAAATAGAAGTTTTAAACTTCACTTATTTTAGAAATAAGTTAATTCTGAATCACCTTATTACATGATTATTCGGGAAGAACGATAGAAGGAACTAAGTTTATCACATGGCGATACAACCGACTAAAATAAAACCCGGATCTGTATTTGGATTTGCGAAGGCGTATCATCGAAATTCTTTGTTATACAATCCTGGATATGATCCGTGTTTGTACTTCTTTCGAATAATCGATTCATAAATTTATATGTATTTTTTAATATTTAGTAATAGAGCATGATTGTATATTTTTTTATGCTTCGTAACGTCCCATCCAGAGATCCAAAGATGTTAAACATAAAAGATCAATTTAATTAAAAAAAAAAAAAGATGTTAGTTTTTTATTTTTAAATATTTTCTTTTAAATTTCATTTGGAAATTGAAAATGGGTTAATTTAATTTAATTTAATTTTTTATTTGTTTTTTGTCTCGGCCGTTCTATATCATTGTATAGATTACTTTTAATACATATCATTGACCTTCGGAAAATGATTAAAAACATTCTTATTATAAACTTTCAATGCATGTTTTAGAAAATAACTGCATGGTCATGCAAGGTCATTTAGAGTAATTTGTATTTTCTCAGTTATTTAACAATACTGATTAGAGTTCCAACCCGGATCATCCGCATTTATCCTACATTTATCCATATCTGAATTATCCGATCGGATAAACATATCAGATATCCGGATAATCCGACAAATATTCGGATAATTATTCGGATAGTAAACGATATCTGTATAAATTCAGATCGAATACTTAGATACGGATAAATGGGTAATAGATTGGAATTCTAATACTGATGAAAGAGTACTTTTAGATTAAAAAATGAATAGTACTTATATTAATTGTAAAATCTTCCAATATCTGTTTCATGTGAAAGAAGACCCTTTTAACCAATTGGTGCACTTGATTACTAGGAACATGGCTGTTTCATAATCGAATTTAACTACTGCAGCCTCTGTTGCTCTTTTTCTTTAACTTAAGCATTCTAATTTTCTTTATATTAAAAAATATTCTTAAACGGGTTTAGCTCACGCAATAGGGAAAATCATTTCCGATTTACATTATCACAAATTTTACAAATACTGCGTATTTTAATTACGAAAAATAAATTTAGAAATATTTTAATAATAAAATTTACTACGTAAAATGTGCTGTGTTGAAGTCATGATTTCTTTATCACGCTTTATAATCATAACTATTATATGCATTATTTGTGTGATTTCTTACTTTATTAATAAAAATTCATATATTCTTTTTTATGTTGTTAGGATCAAGGATCACATTTAGAAGTATAATACCATTTATACTATGGTATTTATGCTATTATACTATGTAACATATGGCATAATTATGTTTAGAACGACGGCTTAATGTAGGAATAATGATATGCATTTTATGCAAAATTACTTCAAAAAAAAGAAAAAGTTTCCATAAAGCTTAAAAGAATCTTTTTTTTAAAAAAAAGCATTATATTATTTGTCTACTAGTCCACATCTAGAAGCTCCAGTACAAGTTAAGCAAATCAATATCTTCTTGAGTAAAGTAAAGGAGCGAATCTGTAACTGAATAAGTGATCTGATTTAGAGGTATCTGTTGAAATGGTGTTGGTACAACGAGCATTTGTTGTGGAATTATGTATGGTTGGTAATGTCCATTATTGAAATTTTGAGCTGGGGATGGTTTTGCACGAATGGTAGGTTTGTACTTGTATCCTGGATACCGTTGTGAATGTAAGTTTTGAACATCAAGGGCTAAATGCTCATAAAGCTCCTTTGTTTTTTAAAAAAAAACAATAATAAAATTAATTTTCTCATGAAAATAACGATAAAAAAAATATATAATATTACTGATAATAAGGTAATTATTAATATGTACCTTTTCTTGTGGTGAAGCACTACGCCATAACATTCCCGTGACTTTGCTTATAACTCTCATGTTATATATTCTATGTTGTTTTGCCTGTTCGTGCACATTCCTTCTGCATAGCAGAAAACCATTGGGTGGGCGAGGTATTCTTGAAGTTGTTTGATTTGATGAATTGATCAAATCTTCAGGCTTATTGTAATAAGGAGGGAAAACTTTGGTTCGGTCAAGTTTGTGCATTAGGATATCTGCCATACCATTTAAAGACGATGGTGATGACAATTGGTTTGGATTAGATTTGTTAATGACCATACCATGCGTTTCAGAGGGTTTCGAGTGTTGAAAGGAGTTTTTTATTACCGTTTTAAACATTTGATGGTCTTAACGGAGGCTTTATATAACTCTTCGCCTTGGAATATATATAGAAGTGATCTGTTTAATGCTATTCTACGTATGCATATACCATATATACATGAACAGTGACGCATTCTAAAAAAAACGTGTATTTCAGGTACGTACATTACTAAATTCATGGCATAGATCACAGTATAAAAAAACAAAATAAAATATTGGTCATGTGCTTCAAAGTCTAGGACAAAAACTTGTTGGCTTCCTTTTTTTAAAATAAAATAAAATAAATAAATAAATAAATAAAATGCATATATATAATACTAATGATAAATAAATATACATATATATAATAATAATAATAAACAAATATACACACATATATAATAATAATAATAATAATATAATGATATAAACGATATATCGGTATATGAATTGCAGAAATTACTTATTGACGATATTTCATTATGTTGATACCATTTTGTAGATCTTTGGACTTGAATATTAGATAGTTCATATAATACCTGACAAGGTATTTTGCTTGCTTATCATCGACACGTAATTTTCTTTCTCGTTAGCAATTTGCAAATTTGGAAATGCTCACAGACCAAAAAGAATCATTTTTACATAAGCTTATTAAATTTATGAAAGCTTCTTATCTTAAGTAAAATACAATTCATTTTTTTCGTTTAAAACGGTTTATGGAGTTTAATTGGTGTTTCATGTTTTTTTTCTAAATATCATTATTATTCATCCAGTAGAATGAAATAAATAATTTACAAAATAAAGAAAGAATACCAATTTTCCGGATTATTGAATATTCCTTTTTAAGAACAGTTAATCGAAAAGATTTATAAGAATCTTGATTTGCAAAAAAAAAAATCAAATTAGTGCTATTTTGGTCTAAACTGGTTAAATAAACTTAATCTGAATACCTGTCGTGATGGCGTGAGAAAGTTACTACCTTCATATGAAACTGTAGGATGCAATTTTAAAAACATTCTAGATTTTCTATATAATGTCTTACCAATGTATTTCTGTTTTGATTCTGTTGATATGATGATTAGGTTTCAAACATTTATTCATCGTCATAAACATTTCCTGCTGCGTACTATATAATTTATGAAAGGGTTCCATGGTACCTGTGTAAATAGTTGTACGGATATTCATGCCATAAGTGTATTGATAAAATTGCACATTCTGGTCATAGAAATGCCTGTGTGCGACTGTAAGGTTTTTGACACAAAATTTAGTTCTTTTAATGTTAGTTTCAAAGATCATTCGACCTTTTCATTGTTGGCGTACTAATGTAAAGATTCAATTTCTTTGCACTAATTAATTTGTCATAGATCTCCACATTTTCCAGTTTTTTTTTCACTTATAGATTTTTTTCTATTTTGTACTTTGATGATTAATGTTCGTTTTTCATTGAATTGGTGTTCCTCTCGTTTAAGGCCGATTCTCTGAATGTTTTTCACTGTGACATTATCATCGATGATTCGACTCAATAATTTATCTATGTAATTCAGTTTGTTGGAAGAGAATTATTGCGGCTTATGCTGAAATTGGCTTACGCTGAATTCGGAGTCTCTTTTTGGACCTATAAAATCCACACATACTCTTTTATTAATAAACCTTAATCTAACTACGTAAAAAAAAAATGAACACAAAGAAGGCCTCAAAAAATTTTATAACTTTACGAGAAAGTAGGTTACTATTTCAGCATAAGCCACAAGAATTAACGCGTGTTTATCAGAATTCCATTTATTATCCGGAGCGTAGCGGAAGATATTATGGAGAGTAATAGACATCTGCACCTATTTTTGGATTGATTATCATCAATTATCAATTATATCAAACAATATATTACCTTTAATTATTAACTACGCTTCAGATACCTGTTTTCTTAGTTATAAATGATATGTATTGAATGTAGTACCTTATGAATGTAATAACCAATTTATTGTTCTTTATTAATTATTATATGTTACACGTATATACCAATAAATCAACCATCAGTAAAAATTTCAAGTTTGAAATTTAGTGTACACAGTCGATATTTTATATGTTTTGTACACGCACCTGCATAATTTTTTTTTTGTGCGCAATAATTTTTATGTACGGAGCCACATGCACAACCATTATTCTAAAATGAGATTTAATGTAGTACATATAATGTACATTAGTTTCTTATGCGTAGAGAGCAAGAATTTTGCACAAATTCAATTGGTCGATCTACCAGTTGGACCTTCATTTCACAAAAAGTTTATTTAGTCGACATAATATAGGGTTAGGGTTAACATTTGATTAGTTGCAAGCAATGTTTAAAATTCATTTTAATATGCGGAATAGCTTAGTAATTTCCGAAAAATTCAAAAAATAAGTAGCGCGAAATTTCAATCTGCGCCCGCAGATCTCACATGTACAATTGTTGCAGCGCGGGTACCTACGTATTTTTATTAATTGTCACTCGGCGTGATGTCGGCTAAATGAGTTGTTTGTAAAAAGATCTGAATTAACTGTGGTAGATTAAAAAAAACCGTAAATAAACGTGGGAATATGATTAGTTTGCTTGCTTAGTGATTGAAAGATAGACGTTACAACAACCCTAGCATCGGCCATAAAAAAATTTAGCTGACGTCACTCGTAACTATAATAAATAATAAAGAAATTGAGTTATTAGATGGTTTTTGCAGTAATAAGCCGGCAAAAAACCCCCGATTGTTAATGAAGTTACATGCTCTGATTACAAACCTTAGCTAGAATCGATGGTTTTTTTTTGATGATTATTTCTGTAAAAAATAAATTAATGAATTCAATTTCATTATCATTATTATATTTACAAGTGACATCAGCTAAATTTTTTTATGAGCAATGCCAGGGTTGTTTAGACGTTACCAGTGAATTAGTTTGAAATAAGTAAATTATATACATAATGTTAAACTAACTGCTTTATTTAATTGCTGGTCCACTTTGCTGAATTAGAATGATTTGGTGAAAAGAATTTACAGTTTTATAACATTGTCTCTGGTGTAATACACTAGAAACTGGTGGATTTTTAGGTCGAATAATAGCCAAATTCCCATTCATAACCACCCGCTCTAGAATTTTGATATTATATCGCCAAACTACAAATTCCAGTTTATGACTGATTATAATACTGAGAATCAAAATTTAATGGTTTATCGGAATTTCTATTTCTAAGGATCGTCTAAAGCCAGGTGCATTCATGTGAACAACAGTCAACCAAGTAATGGCATTTTGATTTACCTGGATCATAGCGGGCTTTAATTCTGATTGGTCATTCATTAAATATATCGTTACATATTGTCACAGGTAAAATAAACAACACACAACAAAAGAAATGTGTCGCGCAACGTTACTCAACGATTCAGAGGCGGGAACGATTTGGCGGTCTAAGGCTGGGGTTGAGTAAGTTACACGAGAACGATGTGCGTTACGATGGTCAAAATGGATTATTTTAAGGGCGAGTTGGGTCTTTATTATTTGTTAGGAACTACGATTACTTGTTGTGACGTACAAGATTACATTTTTGTAGAGCACACGGATTACTACTGCTACAAATAAAATTTTCACCTCTTTTTATAAGGAATCACAGAGAAAGAAAAAGAAGCATTTTGAACACTTCTCTATGGCTTTGTCACACCATTTCTCATTGAACATAGGCCTTATTCCTTATTTTTTACCCTTCACTCATAGCCTCCGTCATTTTAACATTTTTTTCAGAGGGAAAAAAGGAGGCAAGTCCAAGAACGTCCACGCCCACTACCCATTGACTCGATTGTTCTACATTACCACGGTCACACACTTAGCTATCAAGGCAATATTACCTTGACAGCTGTCAATCCATGTCGTGAAGGAGGCTTGGTCCAAGATCTACAACGTAATCGTTCGTTCGAATTCTTAGGTCTGGGGGCATTGTGACGAAGGTCTTTTGGCGTAACAATCATGTTACGTTAGGCATTGTTTCGCGAACTTCTTGGGTCTTGGAGTGGTTCTGGTTTCGTCTGTGACAATATATACGCATATATCATTGACTTTAACCGAATTGTTTGCCATGAAAACGAGCTATAGAATGAAACCGAATGCATATTCAGAAACTACACTTTCAGATTATATGCAATAAAAATAATTTGGAGAACAGAGAAACAAATTAGAAGTTAGCAACGAGGGTGTACTTTTTGTTTTATAGGCTAAAGTAACGATAATTAATGAAGTAAATTATACCTTAGTTAATAAGCGTTATTATTATCTTTTAACTTATTAATTTAAAAGAAATAGCGTTTCAAACAGTAATGCATACGGCTAGTTTTTTTTGGAATATAGAGTACCCGAACAAGTTTTTAAAGCTATATCATGGGATAGATATAGAACATGTACGATTACACGCAATGTTTTTGTAGTTAGTATTTGGTCTTTTGTACTGTTCACATCCTCTATTAGCGTGCATTACACTTTTTGACAGTTAGCGGTTCTTTAATTCATTTGTATGATTTATTATTTATGTTCTTGTTTAAATTATATACTAGTTAGCAAGCGATTTGGTTAATAAAGGTTATCTACATATATATCTGATGAATTGTTAAGCTAAAGATATTGTTTTTTTTTTATTAAGTTTAACTAAACGCGTATTTGATAAGGACTGCTTGGATCTAGATGTTATTATAGTCGAACCTCCAAAATTGCACATATATATAAATTCTCCCTAAAGGATATATAGAAACATAGTAAAAATACTCTCTACCCTCTCTCTCTAAATGAGCATTTATAATAGTTATAGAGGTTCGACTGTAAATTAAAAATTCCAATTTAAGTGTTTTTTTTTGTAATAAATTCTAAAATTTTGTTGCTTCGAACTTCATTTTATATCAGCCAATCAGATTTGTAACGTCACAAAATGATAGTGATGAACCCGCAGATAATCGGATAACTGGGTTGTGATT